TTCGAAGCTATGCATGCAAAATTTCCAAAAAGTTCATTTTAGCCCCTTGAGTTATACATAATTCTGTTGTTGCCCAAAAATTTCTGAAAATAATCAATTTGACCCTTTGGAAATTCAAACATTTTTTGATGTTTTAACCATGTTGTGGGCAAGTTCATTTTTTGGGTTTAGGAGATAATTAGAGTTTAATTAGTTTATTAGAGCTTTAGTTCGCTTTGATTTTGACCCCTAATATTTGTAAATAATAATGATTTGACCCCTCAAACTTCTTTAATTCTTTCAATTGGGTCCTTGTTTGTTTTAATATGTTGAATATGGGTTGTTTACTTTCATTTGAATGCTTTGATTGATTCAATTTCGTGTTTATTTCCATTTCTTGTGATTATTTGTTAATTAAAATGATGCCTTGACCTTTTTCTTTGTTTTGGAGGGTAAATAAGAAAAATTTCATCACTTTAGATCACCAATTCAAGGGAGGTACACTCTACTCCTTTATTTTGATTTTGCTTGATCCTATGTGCTACTATGTGATTTTATGTATGAAATTGCATGCTTTTTTTGAATGTTTTATTATTTCATTTATTTCTTTATTTACTTTATTTATTTTAATTTTGTATATCTATTTAATTTTGGTTATTTGAAAGGCATTTAAATGCCAAGATGTAATAGTTAGGTATTTATTTTATTATTTATTTTATTTTCCCCCTTTAGATTATAGTTAGGACCCCTAATGTAATAGTTAGATTTTTATTTATTTTATTTGCTTTGTGTGTTTTGCATGCCTATGTGTTTACGTGTTACTCGCTTTCTTAGGGCCTTGCATCTAGATATTATGATTATGTACTATGTGTTTTTTGTGATTTATGTGTTTATTTGTTTTATTATGTTTTATATGATTTATTTGATTATAATAAATGCATGACGTCACCATACTAGTCCAACGCTAGTTGTGGCCCTTTTTTTCGATTTCTCACTAGTCCAATGCTAGTGAGAACTTATAGACATTGGCTAGTCCAACGCTAAATCCTTAGGGACCGTCCATACGTTAGATCATGTTTGTGTGACAAATCACTACATCATGCATATTTTCCCACTTTTTAGGATTCTTATCACTTTTGCATGATATTTCCCTATGTATATCCCCTATCCCTATGCATAAAACATAACATTTAGATTTGCATCTCACTTAAGGAAAATTAGAACTAGGTTAGATCATTTGCTTGATTAGATAGGAAATACCTCTCGAATATGGGATATGGACGAGTATGATTTTTTTTAGCCTTAGCACACTCGTATTCCCTCTATCAAAGGGAAAATTGAGTCATGAATTTTAGCCTCCCCGCACCCGTTATGATGCATTCCTTTAGGTCATGTATATTTGTATAATTATTATTTTCTTTTCTTTTCTTCGAGTATCATATTTTTGCATATTCATGACCTCTTCAAAGAGTCACTCTTGGGCATCACAATTAATGTGATTTGTACCAATTAAGTTTTGAAGAGATATTCCGACCCCCGATATCCTCCTAGGGTTAGGTTTTGCATCCATATAGTGACATCCAAATGTAATAAATTCTTAGATTAAATTAAGAAAATTTTTTACTAAATCATGCAACTAGTTTTGGCTAGATTTAAAGGGTGCCTTGGATTTTATCCTTGCGTTCCCTTTTTTCAAATGTGATTCTCGACCCCTTTTCTCCTAATTTTCGCAGACTTGGAGTCGTTTAAAAAGGGTTTTCTCTACTTTTTCTTTATAAATTCATTTTAGGTGATTTGGTACACCTTAACTCAATACCAAGTGGCAACTCCTATTTTTAATTAAAAATCCTTTTTAAACTATTATCTTGGGTCAAAATCGTCACACTTTAAGTCCCATTTGGGCCCATTTTCTTTATTTATTTTCTAAAAATCAAAAACTCCTTTTTACTCAAAATAAATCAAAAATCATTTTCAATCAAAATTAAATCAAAAATCATTTTTTATAAAACCCGTGATTTTATTTTTCATTAAAAAAGGGGCGCGACAGTAATAAATAGGGTTGATAGGATTTTTTATTTCCCCATTTTAGATTGTAGTTAGATTCTCCACTGTAATAGATAGGTTTTTGCGTGTTTATATGGCTTATGTGTTATGTGCTTTATCCGCTTTCCTTAGAATTTTTGCATCTAGATATTATATTTATGTGTTACGTGATACGTGCTCTTATGTGCTTAACTGCTTTAATGTATGCCTTATTTGTTTTACTATATATCATGAATGCATGACGTCACCACACTAGTCTAACGCTAGTTGTGACTTCTCCCTCCGCTTACTTGCTAGTCCAACGCTAGTAAGGATTTTTAGAAATGGATTAGTCCAACACTAGACTCTTAGATCGTTCATGCGTTAGATTTATTTTTGTGTGACATTCATTACATTTTCATGCATATTCTTATTTTAGGATCTTTTCTCATTTGCATGATATTTCCTATTATATTATCCCCTACCCTCTATATGTGTTAATCATATCATTTAGAATTGCACCTCATTTAAGAAATTGTAAAAAATAAGTTTGTTCATTTGCTTGTCTAGATTAGGAGCATCACTCTTTGAACATGGGAAATGGGCGATTATAACTTTTTTAGTTTAAATATCTCATTAATCCCTGTATAAGAAAATTATGTCATGAGTTTTTGCCTCCCGTATCCATTATACTGCATTTTTTTTCCTTTGCTCACATATACCTATGTATATAATTTAATTTAATTTTCTTTTCTTTTCTTTTAATTTCATCATTCGCATACTCGTGACCCCCTTTAAGAAATTATTTTGACCTTCACAATTAATGCGATTGGTATCAATTAAACCCTTGAATGGATATTTTGCCTATTTCGATACCTTCTATAAATTTAAATTTACATCCATGTAGGAATCATCTTAACGTGATAAATTTAAGGGTTAGATTAGGAAAATTTTGACTAAATCTCGCAACTAACTTAGACTAGTTTGAAAGGGTGCCTTAGGTTTGAGTTAATCGAACATTTGCCTTCCATTTCTTCAACTGTGACTCTCGAACTCATTTTCTCTTGTTTTAAAAAATCTAGAGTTGTCGAAAGGGTTTTATTTTATTTTATTTTTAAATTTTATTTAAATTTTGTTAGAAAAATATTTTGGGTGACTTGGTGCACCCAAACTCAATATCAAGTGACGACTCCTATTTTCCTTAAAACCCTTTTTAGACTAAATTTTGGGTCCAAACTGTCGCATTCTTTAAAGTCTCATTTTAAGTCCTTTTTCTTTATTTATTCTCCAAAATTAAAAACGCATTTTTTCAATCACCTTTTAATAAAAATTCATTTCTTTTGTAAATGCCTAAATCTTATCTTTCGAAAAATGGGATGCATAACTTAAAAAAAAATGAAGTTTGGAGTTTGGAGGAAGTCAGGAGAATCGAAAATAGAGATGCAAACTTGATAAGAAGCAAAAAATGAGATGAAAGTGAGTGGTTGTGGCATTTGATAATTAGTTTTTAGGGTTAAAGAAAAACAATTCTTTTTTTAATTTTTTCAATTTAGTAGACAAAAACAAAAGATGGAAGAAAATTTCAATAAATTAAATCTAAAGAAGTTGGATTAAAGAGGGGGTGACAAAAGAAAAGAGGAGAGAGAGAGAGAGAGAATTGAAAACTAGAAAAAAAGAATTATGAGAGGATGAGATTTTGTAGGGAAAATAGAGGAAAGAAAGATGGAGGTTTGTTATATATAAATGTGTTATCATAAGAAATTAATTGGATGTGATGGTGCAATGGTTACTATGCTGGACTTCAATAGCAAAGGTCCCAAATTCGATCCTTAGCTGCGTTTTGCAAAACTTAAAAAAATATTGAAGGGAAAATTGAAAAATTGGGAATCACCGGTTCGACCAAGTTTACCAATCTTGACCATTTATTTGACACTTTCAACTTTGATATAGAATCAGACCGGTGTCATTGCCGATTCGCTGTTCAACGGGTCTAACTGGCCGGTCCGGTCTAGTTTTCAAAACATTGGTTAGGTGCCGCCTTCTCTTCTCTCACTCACTCTCCATTTATTCCCTCTTTTCACGTAACTCTCTCTATAGTCTTTTCTTTATTCTTCTCTCACACTTAGGACTTAGGAATGTGTAAAATCGAAAAATTTCGATTTATCTACTGAATTCAGAATTTTCGAAATCGGTAAATCAGAATTTGGAATGAAAATTGAAATTTTCGTTTTCGAAATTACGAATTTGATTCGAATTCAATAATGGGGTTTTCTGAAATTGAAATTTTTTATTTCGATTTCAAATTATATATGTATATTATATGTAATATAAAATTTATATATTATAATAATATATCTAACTAATAATTATATTGTTTAACAATACAATAATAAGTCTTATTAAGTTCATTGTATATTATATATGTATATTATATGTAATATAAAATTTAAATATTATAATAATATATCTAACTAATAATTATATTGTTTAACAATACAATAACAAGTCTTATTAAGTTCATTGTATTTTATGTTATAATTATAAACATCTATTATACAAAAGTTAGCATTTAGTTCAGCAAAATTTTTATATAATTATAATAAAATTAGAAATACAAAACAAAACTTCAGAAGGACAAAAAAGCAAAACCTGCTTTTTGTGATGTGATGTATATAAGATAAAAAGGTAATTGAAAAGATAAAAAGGTGTGTTGGAAATTGTAATGGTGATGTAAGCAAATAAATTTTGGTAAATAATATGCTGTCCAAACACACTTGTCTCTAAGGGTCTGTTTGTTTGGAAGGATAATCTTTTCTAGGAAAACATTTTCTATATTTTCGGTTGTTTGATTGTCAATTAATTTGGGAAAATAATTTCTGACAGAAAATAAGTTACACCCAGGGTGAAAATAACTTCCTGATCTAACAATGTGAAGTTATTTTCCTCAGCTTCTTTTCACAGCCTCGCAAGGGAAAATAACTACTCCGGCATCTCTCTCTCTCTCTCTCTCTCTCTCTCTCTCTCTCTCTTATTTTTTTTTCCTTTCATTCCCGAAGAACCCCATTCCCGCTTCCTCCGGCGTCAGTCCTCGGTGGCGATCACCTCCTCCGGCGACACTATCTCGGCGGCTACCACCACATAATCTATATACTCACAAGCAATCATCCAGGCGTATCTAATCTGGCCTTCTCCCTCTCTCTGGAAAACTTGTCGCAGGCGTATCCCCTAATCACTATCGGATCTCCCAAATTTCGCGTCATTCCAGCAAGCCCTAGCTCGGATCATCGGAATTTTGTAGCTGTAACCGATTACAATTGCTGCCAATTCGAATTGAGGATCGAAATCTACATACCTTCCACATACGTTTACGTCTACCCATTGCGGAGCCGCGTATGCGTATGAAAAGAACCTGATCGACTCACATAATTCAGGCTCAGGTAATGGATGCTGACAATCCTTTTGTATTTCCTTTTTTTAATAAATATTTTTTCTTCAACTCAGTCCTGCATCTTTTTGGTTTTAATGCTGTTATGATCTGTCTGAAGTGAAATAAAACTAGTTATCGTTGTATAAACTGAAAATTAACATTCCTCGCCGCTGGATTTTGTTTTCTGCTTCAAATCGACTGATTCAATTCAAAGGATCGCTTTGCCATTGTTCTTATTTAATGTTATTTTATCTTAATTTTAAAAAAATTCTTGAGAAGAGGGCTATTCTGGCATTGTTGTTAAAGTTTTACAGAAATAACGTTTGTAGGTCATTTGTCTTGTAGGATAGAGTTCCAGAAGAAAAATGGTGAAATTGACTATGATTTCTCGTGTTACTGATGGCTTTCCATTAGTGGAGGGGCTGGATGATGGCCGAGATATAGAGAATGGGCAAGGAAAAGAGACACAATTGCACATGCTATGTATGTAGATTACATGCAAAGAAGACAAAGTAGATAATCTAGATAGTGGTTGTAGTTTCTTTTTTAGTTTTGTTTTGTTTATGATAATGCTGGTTCGTTGGATGCCATGTAAGGTTGTCTTTGGCTCTATATGAGTGATTTATCTATGTAGAGCTCTCGGCATTCTGCCTGCATATATATGAATAAATCTACCTGATCATTGAAAGATTGCAGAAATTTTACATCCCTGATTGTGATTATTTTCATTTTTCGCTTTGGATGAATGACTTGAAGCTCTTAGAAACTCTTACAGTGTTGACAAGAAGCTCTTAGAAACACAGGATCATCAAACTGCAGCAGACATAACAGTTTCAATTCAGTTTGAGGTTGGTGATTTTTGGCATATATGTTTTTCTAAGTTTTTGAGTAGTAAGGGTCATTTAGGTCTGCAAAGATTAGAACATGCATTTTGGCCAGCAGAGATGTTGTCACTGTCAAATGGTGGTACAATTGTTTAACTACTCTTGAACATGAAGTGAATTGAGCTTTGCTAGATTCCAATATTTATCTGCTAGGATAGAATTCACAATTTTCTATATTTTCGGTTGTTTGGTTGTCAATTAATTTGGGAAAATAATTTCTGACAGAAAATAAGTTACACCCATGGGGGGAAAATAACTTCCTGATTTTGTATTGTAGTAAAAAGCTAAGACTATTGAGAATTTTGCTACAATCTGGTTTCCACTTGCTGGTCATCAGATTATAAGAGCAGCTGCTTATTCCATGGTACATGGGTTTAGTATGCAATCTGAAGTGCATGTAACTGAATTTTGTTTTCTTTAGGAAGAAGTTATTGGACAATTTTTGCTTATGGCCTTTAACAGATATGGTGTGGCATTATGAGGTCCAATCTAAGATCTGCAATAGTCGCATGCATTGCTGTTTTGGGAGGGGGTTGCATCTTAACAGGCTCTGGCACAGGTTAACATTGAAAATCCTCTATCCGTTAGTCTCTTGGCTAGTTCTAGGCTGGGAGATATATGGCCATAAGCCAGTCATGGAAACATGAGAACCTTGAGCTGAGAAGTAACAGCAACTGGCTCTGTACCCACAAATCCTCTGTTTTCTGCAAGTGCTTTGTGTCTTGGCGTTCAGTGTTTTGGTTTTTGGGAGGGGGAGGGGTGGGCTATGAATTTTCTAACCGAGTTTGCTGTTATCTGTCAAATACTCATATGCTTGACCTTGGACTTTGCTAATCGAAAGATCCATTGGTCGGCAGCAAGAATTAACAAATTATGAATAAATCCAAGATTCCATTTAAGAATTCATGGTATAATATGAATAAATATTTATAAAAATGATAATATGATTATAATGGATAGAAACTAAAATTAGTTTGTAATGAAATGAATGTTTTGAGAGTAAAAAAATATTTGCAACATATCAATAAATATATCAGAAAATATTTTCATTGACAAACCAAACACCGGAAAATTATGAAAAAAGAAATTTGGAAAATATTTTCACTTAATAACCAAACACTGGAAAATTATGGGGAAGGAAGTGATTTTCCAGGAAAATAACTTCGATGGAAAATATTTTCCTAGGGAAAATATTTTCAGTCCAACCAAACAGACCCTAAATCTCATTGGCTCACTGGTAGTCTACTGCCGTCCTAGTTTCCACTTTCCTCCGCTGCTTCCAGCCGAGAAGGAGCTTCATCTTTTCTCGGCCTTCATCTTCTCTCTCTCACTCTCAGCCTTCATCTTCAAGCCATCATCAGCTAGCCATCTTCAGCCTTCATCTTCAAGGTTTGTTCACATATTGAAGAAATTTCGGTACAGACGTACAGTTTATAGGGAGTGCATTCATTTTACTTAATCTTTTCTCGGCTATTAATCTGTGTTTCTAGTTTATTTCTTTTAGGCATTTCATCGAACAGCTTCTGCATATGTATTTTTTATTAAATTGTTGTTGGGATCATGGTAAAGTTTCCATTTTTATGGGATTGTTGTGACTTGTGAGTATTCCAGTAGTTGCAAAATTTACCTACGACTATTTAACTGGTGAGTGAATGTTAAGTCACTAGTTATGATTAGATTGTGACAAATGGTTGTATTTGATTCTCATATGACAGTGGCTATGACTTGTGAGAAGTTGTTTTAAATGGTTTAGTTTATATCCATGTTTCTATGTTTCAAATCAAGTAAAGGGAAAAAAAAAGGGTTCCCCGGTGAAATCGGAAATTACCGAATTCCAAATTGAATTCGGAATCGAACTTGAATTCGGAATTGATGAAATCAAAATCGAATTCGGTCGGTTTTCCTGATGTCAAAATTTCAAAAAATTCCGAATTCAAAGTTCCGAATTACCGATTACGATTTCGATGCACACCCTTACTCCTAACTGAATTGTAAAAGGCATGTTTGTATGGAAACTAGGAAGAATTAAACTCCATCTCTATAAGTCTTGACTTAAACTGAGTTTTTTCCCTTTTTTTCGTATTTTTTTGGGTATCCAACCGTCCTAATCCTACGTCTTGCCCTCGCAGTTTTCCCATATTTTTGTTCTTCCCCCATCTCCAGTTCTCCTATTTTACTTCCCACTTGTCTCTTCCAATCTCGACTTAAACATTGCCCTTTATAGAGCTTCTCTTCATGTACGCTAGTTTTTGTTAATAAACTTCTTGAATTTTGTATTCTAATCATCATCTTATCTGTACTTGTTATTTGTCCAATTTTATTCTGTCAATTCCATCTATCAGATTTCTTTGGGTTGACTAGATGTTGTTTTTGAGGCTTTACCAAGATGGCTTCTTGATTAATATATAATTCAGTTTGATTAATTTCCATTATTTATAGTGTTATTGTCCTCATAATGCTGTTTATTCTGTAAAATTTTGATTTCTTGAATAATCTCTGGTGTATTTGTGTTCCATGTAAAGGAAAAAGGAAACAGAAAAATGGAGAATGCATAAGTCTTTGAGTAAAAATTTTCCTGAAGATTTTTTTTGGTTTTTTTTGGTTGGGGGGGGGGGGTTGGGTTGTCTGGCCCTATTTAAATATTTTGAATCTATACTCTTAGCAGAAACAAGGATAGAAATTAGATGTATAAGATGTCTGATTCCCCATAGAGTTCTGGTAAGGCGTGCAAAGTCAAATGAGAGTAGGGGGATTGTGGCTACAAAAATTGGCATATGCATTTAGGTCTCCATTGCAGGGGCGTCGGAGTATTCCTTGTCTTGCATATCTGAGCTTACAGTGGAATTTTAATTGAGAATTTGAATGTCATATGGATTATCAAAGAGTTTTAAATGAAGGAAAATAGCGTTCATTCTTATTGGTGGAGAGAGATTTTTCTGAAAAGTGATGAGTCTGTAAGCTAGAAGCAGTACTTGCATATGCTTATAGCAAGTGGAGCATATTGGCATGGGATCATTATTTCCTTTCTCATGCCATTGCTTGCTGATTTTCCTCTTCTCCTCCCAACCTTTTTTTGCTTTTTGTTGTTTTGTGTTGTATGTAGATCAGCCACCTTTTCATTCAAAATTTCTTTTTTGGCATGTCTGTGCGTATCCTCAGAGTTTCTTGGCTTAACAGAACTATTCATGGTACTCATATATTTGGACTGTCTTCTCAACCTGATGATTGATATGCATTTTAGACTGGTTTCCTCCAATTATTCTCAATTTGTTTCAGGGAGATTTTTCTCAACATTCTGGATTCTTTTATATCTATAGATGGATTACCATGCAATAAAGGAATTCTCATGTTTTCTAAACCTAAAAAACGAGTTCTAGGTTGCAAATTTCTTGTTTTTTCTGAATAAAATGAAGGCAATAACGTTTGATCCGATAGCCAATTTGGCCTATTAGCTTGTGTAAGATATATTTACAATCATAAGTCCGATTCAAGATTGTGTATTACACACATTATTCCTTGTTGTTCATATTGGGCATTTTGAACTTCAGGAGTCATTTTGTCTGATTTTGTTTCTAAGTTTGTGCAATGGCAAATAGGTACATGGGGTATGTGTAGTTCTGAGAGAGTACTGCAACTCTAGTAGAGCATGATCGATAGTCTGTCCTAGGTTCTTCCTTTTTATATAGGTTTGATCAAGCCGAATTTCTTTGAGTTCTTACACTTTGTCTGTTCTGAGCTGACTTGGGATCACGCTTTGAGTCTAGGATACAAGACTTTCTGCAACCATGGATTTGTTGGACTTGATGCAGTTCCCTTGTTCTTGCCTTTCCAGCACCCACCATCTCCCCACCCCCCGGCCCAAAAAAAAAAAAAAGAAAAAGAGAGGATCCCTTCCTCCTTTGCTATAATTCTCTCTATCACTGTGCATGTTGGAGTTCAGATATTTTCCTAGAGATGCTGTTTTGCCCTGAATCTTCTGAAGTCTTGGTCCATCAAAAGTTCTCTTCATTTTTTGTATTGTTGTCTTTTTCATTTATGTGCTACTTTCTCCGCATCATGCCATTTCAATTATATTTAAGTCCCTTCCTCCCCACTCCCCTCCCCTCCCCCCCACCCACACCCCCCGCACCCCCCAAAAAAAAGTTGCATTCATTCCACTGTCTCGTTGGCAACCCTGATTTTCAATGTTACATAAAATTTTTAACATTTCACCTACTTGTTGAACAGATGGAAAGAAGCATAGCAGATGAGCTCTACTGTGATCTATTGAATGTGTCCAATATTCATTTAGATCCCAGGTCAAATGTTGATGGTGCAGTACATAATTCACATGGTATGTTTTTTACTCTGAGCATTTTTCTTCTGTTAGCTATTAGTCAATCTGTTCATGTATTCTGGAATTGAGAGCCACTTAATTAGTACAATCAATTCAAAATTCATGATAATCTATTGGTCTTGTGTTCTCAGAAAACAACCTAGGATTGAATGCTTTTGTTGTTTTAAGAAATGATCCATGATGGGGGGGAGGGATGGGTTGGGTTGTTCAGGGCCCAAAATTGTGCCCTCCCACTTACACTATAAATATAAAAAAAAAAGATCCATGATAATGTTTGTTGAAGGGTATTGTTAATGAAACCATTCCCGAATGACCTTAGTATGGTTACTAGGAAACAAGTAAATGAAGCCTAAAAAGAGAGATGAGTGTTCCTTGTTTTCTTGCATTCTAATCTATCCAAATAGCAGTTTACATCATTGAACAGGTAGATAAAAAGTCCCATGATAAAGATATATTTCATTAACTTCTTTGGTAAAAGTGTTAGTTTTGTCTTATACGGGATATGAAGTACAGTCCCTTTGCATCCCAAAACGTGGGCCAGTTCTACTCCTGCACCTGCTGGAATCCAATTATTTTTTCTTGAAGTTCAGTTTCAGCCTTGAAATTGCTAATACCTCATAGGAACTTGTCTAAACTATGTAACGTGTTCTCCTCCTGCTTCTTAAAACATTAGTGTCATATGCAGTGACTATGCGAGATACTGCTGCACCTTCATGATCTCTTTCTATATTGGGCATTACTGCACCTCTATCCATTCTTAAATTTTCTGAGGAAACCTTTATATGTCCTTTCTTTGATAGTTTGAATCAATTTGACTAGTGATCAATTGACTATACCAGCAAAAGTTACGCTTGACCTGCTTAATTAATTACTCTATCTACTTCTAGCACCATTTTTTTCATTTATGTAAGAAACATAGCGGCCAAGCATAGGCATTCTGAAAGTCTAGTTCAAATAGCGCACCTTTCTCAATCTTGCCTATCGAGAATCTACTTTTCTAATCAATCGAATTGCATCTAGTATCTGCCTTCACTCATGAAGATGTTTTGAAAGTAGGAATTTCCACTCTCCTGCAACCTCTCACCCACATACTTCGAGTGCATGCTATTATCCTTCGATGCTGTGAACTGGTCTTGGGGCCTAGTAGTTCTTTTTATACAAAGATGAATGCTATTTGGGAGTCGCTTTAATAGTTTTTTAGAAGGCATTTTCTTTAGAAAACTTCTGATATTTCTGTTATATTTTCCATCAACCTCCCAGGAATTCTGAAAAAAGGCAATAGAAACAATGACACGGTCGTGCTTTCTGTATCATCAGAGCTTCCTATAGATTCAAATTTATTCTTATCTGGAAATAGTCCACTTTTGCATTTTGGTGTCAGATAGGAATCATATTGCCGTCAGATATGTGTTATAGGTCAAACGATATGCTAAACCCTTGAATGGTTCTTATGTACCAGCAGACCCTATCTTTTTAAAAAGCTTACTCCTGATGTGCTTGATTCCAGTTCCATTTTTCCAGTAGAGTTCCTTCTTCTTGTTGCATAATCTTGACAGTGGTATGGTTCTGAAGCAATACTAGTAGGATGACATATTACAGTGGAGCCGGATTTCCTATAAAAGTAACTGTCTTATTTTTATCTCTGTGGTATTTATGCTTTAAAAATTGGTGGACACTGTTGAGTTGTTGAAAAAACTAGAAGAGAATTCATGTACCTCGAGTTTGCAAAACTATGCTAAAGCTTGGAGCTTAATCTGGTTTATTTGATTTTTCAAGCGCATGGTTCATTAGTATTTTCTTTGGACTGCGGGATAGGTCATGGCTGTGCTTGGGTCTGTAAAAGCGTCATGCATTTGGTGCTTATATTTCAGGTTACGAGTTGAATATGTTTTTGTTTGATTAGTATTTTGCATGAGCAGACAAATTAGTAAGGATTTAAATATAATAGTTGGTGGAGGTTAAAGATGATTGAACAGTTCCCATGGTTTGATTGATTCGCCATTTCGATGGATATATTAACTCTTCTAAAGAGTTAATATGGTTCATGCTATAGTCCGTTATCAGATTCATCTTTAGGAGCTAAGCATGATAAATAGACAAGATCAAACTCTTGTGGTTGGAACTTTTGTTGTTTCAGGGATGTGCAGTTTGCTGAACCATTGAGTTTTGCTGGTGCGTGAAATCCTATTTTTCAATTGTGAGAGCAGATATAATATCAAACTAAGTTCTCATTGTCGAAGCCCTTGAAAATTAGTGTTTTTTAAAAACACCACACTTACCTTCAGGCTGCATTGCCTTTGTTTACTTGGTGGTCCTACCCTTATATAAAGATGCTTGAAAGTTGAGATGCCATCACCATCAGGTTAGGCAGGATCATTATGGTTGGTAATTGTGGTTTTGGGGCTTTTGTTGCGCTACGAGGTTCTGTGATGCAGGAAATAGTGGCAACTGCTAAGGATAAAGATTAACGAGGAGAGAACACATTAATCTACAAGAAAAGGAGGATTAGTCAACCCCGGAGAGCTTAATTTGATACCTGAATCACATGATGAGGAAAACGTATTGCTGCAGTACACAAATATGTCCATTAACTGGGGGGCTATAGAATCTAATGTTGCCCTAGATTGTGAAAAGTCCAAATAACTTTTTTAAAAAATTCCTGCCTAGTGGTCCAACTGTTAAGACTGGCAATTCTAAATAGCTACTGCAGCACTTAAGTAAACCCCTGAGGAGAACTTCTTGTCTAAATAAAATCAAATTAATTGCTTATCAATTAATAGTGCATCAATGTGTTCTGTGAGCCTGACATTTTATCAGTGTCTAATTTCAGATAGTGATGGGGATGAACTATGGTATGATGATGGAGCTTTACCCTATGAGACAGACAAAGTTGAAAAAGCATTTGATATGGAAAGGGAGTGGCAGAGGAGGCGCGAGCAATTTCATACAGTATCCTTGTTCTAATTGGCACGTTAGCAAGTTTGTGATTGTGCCTCATTTAATGCTGATATAGCCTGATAACCGAAACTCCTAAAATAATAATCATGTGGGAAGTCTGTTCATGACTTTAAATAAGAATATCAGAATAGGTACATGGAGGTGAGAATGAAATTTGATGCTATTGAGAGTTTGGGATTAAGAAATATGATGAAGCTATTTCACATCCAGTTTATGTGTGTGTTCTATTTTTTTTTAATAGATAATAAATATTTGTCAATCCTGATGAACTGTCAGATTGGATATCGTGACGGTCTGGTAGCTGGAAAAGAAGCATCTGCTCAAGAGGGATTTAACATAGGCTTTAAGGAATCTGTATTTGTTGGCCAAGCATGGGGTCTTGTCAGAGGCGTTACCAGGTAAATATAATAAGACAGAAATTATTGAACTTTTACTGCACTGCCTTTAGAGGTCTTGGGTTCAAATCCTCATTCCCAGCCACCACCCCTCCCCCTGCTCGAGCACTTGTTAAATCCCACCCCTCCCCTGCTTTTGCTTTTAAGTTCCCTTCCACCACTTTTAGCATCCCAATTCTTTTTCTTCCTCACCTCAAGGAGGGAGGGGAGGGGGGGGGGGGTGACGAAGAAATGGAGTATGAAATGAAAGTCTCCTAGAACTAACAATTTTCCTTCCATCTCTTGATGAAGTGCTTGGGTTTGTCTTCCTGATGGGGTAAAAGAGAGGTTGGTTGAGACAGAGGAGAAAAGAAACAAGTTGCGGCAGTTGCATGAATCAGTGCGTGGTATTTCGGCAACAGATGCACTTAGGTTGTTCCATGATCACCTTAATAACAATTTGATGGAGCATGGGGAGAATGCAGAAACCAGTTCCAATGCAGGAGATTTGCATGCCCAATGTTCTGGTGCAAATGTTATTGAACATTATGTCCGGGAGTTTAACTTGCTTCTTGTTCAATGTTCTGCAATGGATGTGCACCTAGAATGACTTAAAATTGTCATGTAATGCGTGGAATATGCTTAGGTGTATGTGCATCCAAAGGAAATATATTTGGCGTCTTTTGGATAGCGACGCAAAACTAGGCATCTGTCGGATATATCATTTCTGTTTTGAAGGGTTTCTCATCTGCCTATATTGAGCCTGGACGTTGAAGCATTCCTTACAAGCCAGCTGCTTGATTGACTCTGCTTGATCTCAATAGTTGAATCGTGTTCTTCTTGGCAACCTTGAAACTCTGTGAACTTTGACAATACCACTTTTGTAACCGGAGCTTTTATGGTTAGTATTGTTGTATAGTAAAATTTGTTTTTGGTAGGACTGTCAATGGGGTTGGGCCAGCCCGAGCTCAGCTCGTTTGGCCCGACAGAAAGCCCAATGAGCCCGACTATTTAATTAGCCGATCTGAGTTCGAACCTAAAAATTAGGTCCGAATTAAATATGAGCTAAGATTGGACCTTATTAGTCTCAAACTCGATATAGGTCCCGCCCTTTAATCACCTATATATATAATATTTATATTTTGATATTATGTATAATTATATATCCAAATATATTATTACTAAATACTAAATATATATATAAATTACAAAATACAAAAATACATCTAAAGACTTTCATGAGCTTTCTTGAGAGCCAATATTAGTATTGCATAACTAAATCTCTAACTTTTCTTATTGGTTGAGTAAATTTTTGTATTGGTATAATATTGGTTGATTTCTTTTTGGTCTACAAACACAAAAATCATCAAGCATATTTGGATTTAAATCACAAGATTATAAAAAAAGTTTCAACTTTTAAAGATGTATTGGCTTATGATCGCATGTTTTATTACTATTTTTCATGTATTTTGAACGAATTAAATATAAATATTGTTGAAAAAAATTTTGGTTTATATACTTTTTAAGAACTATTATTTGTTCATGTTTAGTTTTAATATTATAGTCTTGCAAATGTTAAATTAGTTTTACAACTTAATAGTTATAGTAATTATATTAAGAAAATTAAGGGGTAATAAGTGAGCTTGAGCTAAACCCGATTAATGCTTACAACCTGAATATTATATAAGATGAGTATGAGCTTTACATTTATGAACCCGAAACTCATAGCCCGAAACTCGAAAATGTTTCAAATTAAATGGGCTGAACTTGAACTCCTCAAACCCCGGCTCATTAGGCCCGATTGACAGGCCTAGTTTTTGGAGATAAATGAAAAACATATTTTTAGGGTTAATTACACTTTACTCCTCAAGCTTTTGCCTGAATTGTACTTTACCCCTTCTGAACCAAATTAATGGGCACTTATCTCCTTTGAAAAATTCCACTGTACAAAAATATACAAATACATGATGTGGATTTTTCCTTTAACAAAAATGCCCTCCTTGAGAGGGTATCCCTGACGTTATTATTTTTTATTTTATTTCTATTACTGTTTTTACTCCTTTCGTTCTGCTTCTTGACTAAAAAGATGTTTGTAGATGTAAACATTTTTGCCGTTCAACTTATATAGCATTTCTGTTCGTTCTTTTCAGCTAAATGCATAAGGCCAAAAAAAAAAAAAAAAAGAAAAATTCAAATGTACTTTCCATTAGTTTTTGAGTGCTCAGTAGCCAAACAAGGTAAATTGAAAATTAGTATGCAAAATATTTTGTATGGTATAAATGTTTAATCAAGAATTATGTCATTTAAGTAATGTGTAAAATTAAGTGTTTTTTTTTTGTTGGTCACATAAGTCCTGTTTGACAAGTAAGTTTTTTAGATGTTTATCTAAAACTTTACTGTAACTTACTGTAGAAGTTGTAAAAATTTTTTTGAAGTGTGTAAATTTTTGGATATTTTGAAGTGTATAGTTTAAAATTTTTTAGAAGTTTTTTGAGATTACTATAGTTAAAATTATTGAAAAAAACGTGTAGCAGACAAACTTTTTCAAAAACCTGCTTGTCAAACAAGTCATAGTCTGACGCACGCACAATTATTTATATATCAAATGTTTTTTGGTGAGTATATGATGTTTAGTAGCTTTTTGAAATTTTCATTTTATTAGAAAGAATCATTTTTAAAAACTTAAACTTTTTATTTAGCCTAGAACTAGTAAGATTCAACCTTCTGACTCATTTACATATCCAAGCATTGAACTTATCACATTTCACTAGACGTTGCCAATTTATTACATGTTTGTTTATTTTTTCTTGAATAATTTATTTGGTTGCTGAAAAAATTGAAACAAAATGAAAAGGGTCAGTTCATTCTCGGGATGAGTTTAATCGTACTTATGCTTGTTGAAATAGATATAAATGATAAATAAATTAGAAAAGGCAAAGTGGATGAGTTTTAGAGTATTCTTGGGGTCACTAGAAGTCATGATAAATAAATAAGACCGTGGGGTAAAGTTGATAATTTCTGTTATATATTGGCCTGAAGTAGAAATTGATCATTTCTGTTCATGTTTATTTCACAGGAGCAAGAGGCAAGGTAGTCTAGCGATGTAGTAATTGTTATGTGAAGTAGAAATTGTGAATTGCCATAAGATTCAGTTGTTGAATTTTTGGAAGACGCATAAACTACTCTTGCACATAAATAAAATGGTGAAATTACCTTTTCACCAACAACAAAAACACTGATAAGGCTGTTTAACACAATAAAAGTACCACACGAACTTCAAACAAATGGCTCAACTTGAAGAAACGGTGATATATCATTAATATTCTGACCCAACAATTCAAGATATGAAGCTGCTGCTTCTCTGGTAAAGCTGGATCAATCAACTACTAGCTTCTTGGTGTAAACCTTCTTCAGTTTGTCATCTCCCAGGAGTACGTATAATTGCAGATGTTTCTTCTCTGTTCACGAGAATAAGAGAAATTGTCATACGTTAGCAGAATTTGAACTGTGAATGGATCTTTTATGAGTAAATTTCAGAGATGAATAAGTTATCAAAGAGAAAAAGTTTTAATCGTCACCAGAGTGGTATCAACTGCAAGCTTGAATTGATCTTGCATGACTGAATGAGAATGAGCTGTGACTCGGTTGGGTATCATATCTGGGTACTGGCATAACTGTTTCAAAAGCTTCAACAAGCAATGCAACCTTCTTCTTGCGCGCTGGACCAAGTTTGTTGACTGCCTTTTGAATAGCATAATCCAGCATCCATTCGTCTGCATTTCTCCTTTCATCGATTGTTTGATGCCTGAGATCAACCTTCTCTGCTTCCGGGCCAGGCTCCAGTGGCAGAAAATTTGGTGCTTTTGGATTGAATTCTTTCAATTCCTGGTACTCTTCAGTAGATCTTTTGCATCCAGTTCTCCAGCTCCTCCTTTTGCATGTTTCAGCCAATTCTTGACATGAAAGGCTTCTCTTACGGTCATTTTGTGTACCGCCACATGCATTCTTGGGTGTGGGGTTTGCTTTTTCTCCTCCTAAATCAGCAGATGCTATCGTTTTGAAGTTCCCAGCTTCATTTTCTTCCAAGCAATTTAGATTTTCGCAACCACTGCTTATGGAGTTGTCATGAGCTGATTGATCTGGAGCTCCTTTTGTTAGTTCCATATTTGCCAAAGTTCGATCTGATTTTCCACCAATTCGAATGTCCTCCAGGTTATTGTCCTTGCAATCCTTTGCTGACATGTCCCCGGTGGCCTCAGCTGAACTATGCAGAGAAATGCAAATTTCAATCTTGGTAGGTGCTTTAAAAGGATCACCTTGCTCATTCTCTTCCATCCCATCTTCACAACTTTCTTCAATCATATCATGAAAATCTTGCGAATCTGGGCCCCGTACCTGTTCGGCTTCAACATCATTCTGCACAATTCCATCCTTGAGATAATCAATGAGATCCTGTGTCTTGATAGGCTCGAAAGATTCATCTTTAAACTGAAGACCTAATTCATCATGACTTCCATCATCAAGCCCTTCAACATAATCCTCTGCCCAATAATCTGAAAATGAACTTGCTTTAGAGCTCACACTTTCTCTATCAATGGATTCTTCATCAGATGATTGTTTCAGGATCGTACCTGCCTGAATTTCCCCAAAGCACCTATTTGTAATAGCTGATTTGAAAATGGATACTTCAGGAATTATACAGCTTCCAAACTCAGGTGAATCTCGTCCTAAATCAGAATCTTGGATGCTTTGCAGTGAACTGTCAGGTTCATAATCAAGATCCATAGTTGAGTAACTCTCTGCCTCACAATAATCAGCCACTTCAATGACTGATGAAGCAGCATCAATGATTTTGCTGCTATCATCATGAGAATCCATCTCAGAGAAAGGGGATTCATCTGATGGTATTGCAAGAACTTGTCTGTTGTCAACTTGTGTTGGTGTTTCACCACCACTTGGTCTTCCCTCAACTGCAGGCCTGATATGGTTGAGAGAAGAATCAGTGATATCAACTTTAGTTTCCCTTCCTTTACCGTAAATCTGAACGAAGAAATCAGTTTGCTTTTCTTCTATGACTGGGCTACTCATTGAACTGTCCCATGGTTCTTGAGATGAAGATTTCTCATGGTTCTGCTCAACCTGAATTTCTTCCGTACTGCTGCTAACCGGCTTTGATCGTCGTGGGGAGAGACATCCCAGTTTGAAACTTCTTTGAGTCTTCAGCAGGCGCCTTCTTGCAGACAAGAAGCTTTTTAATGGTGGTAAAGGAGGATGATGATGACCATTCAAAGAACAGTAAGTATAGGGGCAGACTTTCATGACAGAGGTTCCTTCTGCTTCTGTTGCTCCGGAACTAAGAGCAAGGTAAGCTGGAAATTTTGAGTCCTTCAAAGTTGAAGAACAGGTTGCTCTCTGAACATTTAGATTTTCACTTAGGACAAGAGGGGAGCATTTTTTGGCTGAAGCTCTTGCTGGTTTAAAACTAGTTGTTTTTGTTAGTGTCCTAACTAGTTTCGAACTGGAAGTCCTACCTAAAACTCTTGCTGCCTTGTGAACAGAACCTGAGCTCATTTTTGAGCTATTTGAATCCTTCCTGCCTGAGCTTTGACTATCAAAGAGAGTTTGAAGGTTCCTGGAACTCACCTGAGAACGTTCTTTCCTTGCATCAGAACTGGTAGTTGCCTTCATATAGTTTGGTGCTGTTTCTGGTGTTTTGACCGGGGACTTCTGTGGGGATGCAGAGGTATTTGGAAATACTGGAGGTGGTGGTTTTGGTGGTGGTGGCTTTCCAGGCTGAGGTACTTGCCTTCTCATATTTGGCGAACCAAGGCGTTCAAGATCAGAAAGCTTGATTGGTCTTGATTTCTTCATTTTCTTCTTCAAATCAGCTCCTTTGTTTTTGGCATCCTGATGCTGCAGAGTTGATGGTTTGAGGTTCACCAACAGCTTGTTGGATTTATCCTGATCAGCATGGATACCAAGCTTGTTGCTCACCTTTCTTTGCACCATCTTTAGAGGAAATCTCAAAGCAGAAACATGAGTTTTGATAGATTTCAAGGGAATTTTTTCTTCCCCTTGAGACGGAGATTTCTGCCTCCAGAAGAAAAGAAAATGGGTTCCCTTTTGGTTTTCTGTTGTCAGCAGAACATGAATAGAGACATCTTGAAATCCCAACAACTGGAGATTCCAAGTCTGCTGGTTTACTGTGGGTGGCTTTTCTTTAGGTGTGTTTCCAAGTTGTTTTCTCTGGTTTGGCCTATGAAATTTGAACAAGTTTGAGATAAGTTTATGATGGAGACCTGGACTATAAGAAAATGTTGGGGTCCTTTCTTAATGAGCATTTTCAGGATTAAATTGTTGTCCTAGATGACGAGAAAACTGTACATTTGGCACTGTCTCAATCTTCATTGCTTAAGCACTCATTAAATTAAATATTATTACCCAGCCCCATAGAAGCAATTGCATTAAAAAGTAGTACCTTTACCCTGCGTGCGGATCTGTCTACGGAAATCTATTGGACACTCGTTAAAATATGTTTCACATACTAAATTTTTAGAAAGGTAAGATTAATTAAAAAATATATATAAATATAAGAAAGAGTAATAATTGTTAATATATATATATATACATGATAGGTTACGTGAAATTGACGCCCACTAAAAAAACTCATATATAAAAAGATTCCAATGTATATGAACATATGAAGAAAGGTATTGGATGGCAGTTAGAAATAAAGTTGATGGCTTGACACTAAACCAACTCCATTAATTTGTGAGTTAGAATCTTATCCCAGTAAGGAGTTAATAATTAGGGGTAAAATTGTGTGTATTCTTTACAAGGTAATGATGGCTGAAACATTTGATGAAAGCTTGCACCCAGTAAGTAGTTAAATACTGTTTCATTGTTTGTTGGGTTCAATTTCCAGGGTATGATTGTGTTTCTTCTAAACTGAAACCAAAGAGCAACAAGAATACCTTAGAAGTTCATGTAACAAGAATGACTTAACTGAAATGATAATGATTCATGTTATCTTTAATCTTTCTATGGATTATTGCCAAATTGCTAATCACTTGATTAAGAGAAAAGCGAAAAGATTATTTATGGGGGTTAAAAGTACTACTTAGTACGTAATGCTGTGAAATGTTATTATCAAATCAAGAATTATTAATTTAGGTGAAACATCTAGCCCCACTAAGCCACATATAGAAAGATTACATCAATTTATTGAACATAATCAAAATTCGATTTATAGTAAGACTATCATGTAAATATATACAGTCATATTTATTCTCTGACATTTAAACATTTCCTTCGTATAACTTCAACTTTTCAAAAAAAATAGTATTTTATAACATCTCTAAACGAGATAAACTCGGAAAAATTTTCTAAATAACAAAAAAAAGAAAGGAAGAAAGAACTTTTTTCTTTTTTATTTTCGGAAAACACGAACTATGTCTATTATGCCCATATAAAAAGAAAAAAAGAAAGCAAAAAGAAAAGTAAAAAAAGAATATGCAGAGGACAAAGTTTGTATTCTGTGGTACATTGTTGATCATAGACCGACTAGACCGACTAGCCAAAGTGGTTGGTCTAACGTGTGCAGTGCTTTTCCAAAAGTCTGATATCATGGTCGGCCAAAAAGGGGTCGGCTGTAGGACCTACAGGAGCGTCCGGGTGCAGTAAATCATACGCTCCTCCTTAATCTTAATGCCATTTTTTTTTTTGAAAAGTATGTGGTTTGCCATTTGGAAAAAGGAAAAAAGTTTGAGCACTAACTCGTGTCTTGTAAATTGCAATTGAGGTCCTTCACCCGTGTAAACTGGAAAAGTGAAAGCATATTTTTCTCATAAAATTGCATCCATTTTACAAATTTTTACTAATTATTTGTGATTAATTACTACTTTTAATCTACTTAAAAGGTTACAGGTTATTTGGAATGACTGTCAATGCAACCGTTTAATTCCTCCCCCTCCATAGATCACAATCGACTGGGACAGTTTGACCCCTCGGCATGCCCTAAGCGCAAGGAAGGTATAACTGAATTTCGCCATCGGAATTGATGTCTCACGGCCCACGGATAGTGAGCCAAAAGTACAAGGTTTTAACAAAGTAGTTTTCAATCTCACATATGGAACTTCGAAACTTAGGCCTTGTTTGGATTGCCGTTTTTCGTGATCACATTTCCCTATTATCTTTTTCCTTCACATACATCAAATCGCTACAGTAATTTTTCCATGAAAAATGCAATCCAAACACAACCTTAGAATTTATTTGAAATTTGTAAATTTTTTCGGTTGTAAAGAACAAATTCTTTCTAGAATAAACTCTTCTTGACTTGTGAAGCTCAGTAAGAAAACAATTAATTCAATGTCAGCCAAAGGATTAGAAAAATAAAAGAATTATCATTCTACTTCTCCCATACAGTAGCATCTATAGTTGAAAAAGGTTGTAAATATTTATTTAACTAAGTAATATTACCATTCTCTCTAAAACTTTTTTCTCTCCCTTCTCTCTAGAACGCTTCCAATCAAGATTTTCTTCATCTCTCCAATGGGAGAGAGACCAAATCTGATCTTTCCGCATGGGAGGAAATACTGTTTATAGTTTTTAGTTTCTCTTATTTGAATAAATTCTCTTCTAAAATTCCTAATGAGAGATTCTTCTCTTCTAAATTATTTTAATAAGAGTTTTATGCTCTTATGAGTTTTTTCCTTGTGAGAGTTTTTTATGCTTTTATCTTTGTGAAATTTGAGATTTTATAAGGGAAATTTGCCAAATTGGTCCCTAACATTTACCAAAAACACTTTTTTAGTCCCTAAAATATAAAATCAGCCAAAGTTGTCCCTCACATTTAAATTGTGATCCAATTTGGTCCTAATGCTCGTTTTTGCTCCTTTCTCCGGCTAAAAATAGCACGCTCCTCTCACGTGGTCATATTTTCAAGGGCAAAATTGGAAAACACAAATCCCAGATCCACTGGGGACGATCCCTGACCTCACGATCTTTACCAAATACATAGAGTCGATCCCTGACTCTCTAAGCAACGGGTGACTAAGTTCACCTGAACAGAAGCATATTTGGAGGTGATCAGAAGAGGTGCCGCATGTCGCTGGTGGAGGCGCGAGGAGAGAGAAGAGGGAGTGAAGTAAGGTGAGGTGAGGTACGCGACGCGCACCAGTGGCGTCGAGCAGCGGCGGCGGCGGGGCAGGCGGAGGATGAAATAGAGCCGCGCAGTGGCGGCGGCTGCTTCTCGTGGATGCGGGCTGCGGCGTCGGGGCAGGCGGAGGATGAAATAGAGCCGCGCAGTGGAGGCGGGCTGAGCAGCGGGCGGCGTGCGCTGGGGTCGCGGGTGAGCTGGTGGAAGGATCACGCGGGCAGTGCTTAGAGCAGCGGAGCAGAGATCGCGCGGCAGTGGAGAGAGGCGGTGGACAAGCGAGGTTGGAGGGGCGGAGGATGTGGCAGCGGTGATGAGGGGTCTCGGTCGCGATGGAGAAGAAGAAACAGGGGAAAAGAAGAAAGAAGAAGAAAGCTTTTGTTTTCCAATTTTGCCCTTGAAAATATGACCGCGTGAGAGGGGCGCGCTATTTTTAGCCGGAGAAAGGAGTAAAAACGAGCATTAGGACCAAATTGGATCACAATTTAAATGTGAAGGACAATTTTGGCTGATTTTATATGTTAGGGACTAAAAAAGTGTTTTTGGTAAATGTTAGGGACCAATTTGGCAAATTTCCCATTTTATAAATTTAGAATCTAGTTTCTCAGAACTGCAATTTCTCCATTATTGTCAAATTTAAATTTCTTTTTGAACTTGAACCAGTTTTAATCAGATCTGATTGTTAGCAAACATATACTGATGTATTGGGTTACAGTGATTCATCCGAATAGAAGATATATAGGAGTATAAATATTATCTTTATTTGTATTATTTTCTTAGATATGCTATATCAATATTATTTTTATTTGTATTTTTTTTAGATATGTTATATCTATTGATATCAGATCTATATGTATGTGTCTCATGTTTGTGGACTCTTTTTCTGTGGCGGATCTTCTTTCTTCTCTTATATATATCCAAAAGGTTTTGGTGTAGTGGTGAAATTTGAGATCTTAGAAAGTTTTTGGTCCAAAAACTTCCTCCTCACTCCCATTTCTTAAATCCCATGCTAAAGTTTAAAATCTCAAAATTTAGAGATTTTAGATTCAAATTCTCCTTCGTCCATTCCTTTCTTTAAATTCCATCCTTCCATTGCTTAAAAATTAACAATATGGATCCATTGCTATGGATTACGTGTTCCATCTCTTAAATCCCATCTTTTCACTTGTTTAAAAATTAACGATATCGATCCATTACAATGGATTGCGTGTCCTAGGTTTTCTCGGATAGGGACGCGACCGACGATAAGATATCAAATGAGAAAAGAACGTTTATTATAATAATAAGAATTGATGTCCAATATTTCTCATTCATGATAACATCAATTCATCTAATTTAGAGAAGGGATTCAGTTGGGGTATCCATGAATTGACTGCCTTGAAGCATTTTTTAAAGGACTCATAATAAAGCAATTAAGAACCAGTATACCATACGAAAACTATTTGAAAGTTATTCCACATTTTCACTTATTGAAGGCGACAAATGATCAATATCTGATATTTTATCACTAAAATAAAGTCACAATTTTTTATCTCTTTTTTTTTTCCTTTTTTATTTTAACTTTTTTGAATGTAGCAAAGAGAAGGATAAGGATGTGTGGGAAGCAAAAAATGGGTAATTAGAAAGCATAGAAGATAGAATATTCGTTTTAAACAGATTAATGAATTAGTGGTAAGGACCCTATAAATCTTTCTTTGGATGTATTGTAGTCATTAAACTTTTACCTTTTTCATTTGAAACATTAACGTAAGATTTATATGGCTAAAAGATAGTCAATCACTCGAAACTTAGGAGTTATCATGTTTGTATATATCGATCAAACATAACTGTCATTGATTTAAAATGAATCAAGTACTTTAAACAAATTTCCAGTATACTAGCTATCGCAAACCGTCTATGAAACGTCTCTAAAGACCAATTATTCCAATCTTTTACTCTACTCTTTTCACAATATATATATATATATATATATATATAAAATCTCTAGAGAGCTAAATTGACATGTTATGGAATTTGTGAAGCTTACTTGAGAAAAATGGAAGTTCAATTGCTCAAAAAAAAAAAAAGCAATTGAGGAAAAGGCTGGTGAATGGTGCTTAATACTGTGCAATTAATTAGAAGGAAAGGCATGGTAAACCTTT